TTAACGCTGTGTTGATAGTGGACACCCTACTTATACTACAGGAACTCCTACGGAATGTTGGAAAAAAATCGAGGGGAAATGACTAAACATCAATTGGAAGAAGACAGAATGCATGCTTGTTAGCAAAAGGAATCTTTCCAACAATATAAGCGGCTTTTCGACATCATTTATGTTCCAGAGGAAGAATGTTGTTGTCTTGGAGAAAAGTGTAAATGCAGTCAGTCAGTATAGACATGATTAATTCATTTGTTGTAGACAGACAAGTTATTGGCCTATTCTTTTTTGTATCATCATTTTTGTTGGAGATAAGTATTACCTTGAGGGGTACATTCTCGAATTTCATTGTGATAATTTTATTATTATTATTATTATTATTATTATTATTATTATTATTATTATACAAACTTTTTCTTTAATGTAGCCTAGTGCATTCTTTAGACTTGGGATTACCGTGAGAATATCATGGCTTAATTATATTGATAGAATTCTCTATATTTGTAATTCAGCACTGCTAAGAAGAACGTTTTTTCTGAACTTCTTTTATATTGATATGAGGGATGTTGCTGGTATATATATCCACCCCTTTCTTGCTTCCACGCTCTCTCAGTTTCCCTTTGTAGATTTTCATATTGTAGATTTTTCCCTGCAGTTTTCAGGGGCGGTGTCTCATTGTGTCTCATGTTCTTTCCTTTTCGCCTTCTACTTCTATATCAGATCTGCTATCCTAAATTTCTTTATCATCTCGGATTGCTATGTCATGGCAGAATATTCATCGTATATTACATTTAATGTCGTATGGTTGTTTTATTATTCGCATGTTCATAGTTCTATGAATTGTAATGTATTAATTTCTGTTCATATTGTAGCGACTTGTAGTTCTTTTAGACGCCGCTTCATGAAAATACATCCAAATTTACAATGATCACGTTTGTGAGAAGCAGTTTCGCGGCGAAAACAATGCTTTCCTCTTTGTAAATAACGATTTTCCTCTTAAAAGCAAAGGTTAATGATTCTGAAGTTATGCAGTTTGTTTTTGTTCTTGAGATATAAGCTTTATCACATTTCGTTTCTAAGCACAAAGGTCTTTTTCATAACGAGCCTTTGAAGAGTAAAGTCGAATGTTAATATGTCACCCTTTTACTGTTCGTTTGACATTCAAATTTTATGATGTAAAAAATACCCGGATGAACATCTACGAGAGCTGGTCAAAAAGTAATGTATACACTTATGAAGGTATAACAAATTTACAAGTAGAAAGCATTACATGGCAAAAGGAACACAGAAGATACAGTTTTTCTAAGTTCAGTTAAGAATGTTTTTTCCTTCTCAATTTTTGAACTCCACATTTGAATGAAGTCATATGGAGATGCCAAAATTAAACAAGTACAAACTTTTAAATATGTGGGAAGTGTTTTAACAGAGTACATTAACCGTTTTAGTAAATGTTGTTTTTTTTTTATCTCCCTCTGTTCTGCCATCCATTCAGGAAAGCTAACTAATTATGCTATACGTTCTTTTTCCCCTGTCCCTCTTGCCTTCAATCTGTCCTGTTAGTTTCAGATTTTCTAAGCCCTCTTTCTACATTATGTCTCTAAAAGCTTCAACTGTCTCTTCCGGATGCTAAGTAAAAGTGACCTTTTGCTTCCATTTTCTCTAAAACGTCATCGTTGCATTCTCACCATCCATCTGTAGAAACACATTTGTGCTGCCTTAAGACTCTTCTTAATCTTTGAAGAGATTGTCGAAAATTTACTAAAATATAGGGAGGGGGACAGATATCGCATAACAGTTCAGTACAGGTTTTGTTGTTTCTAACGATGTTTTCCTTATTTGCATTGTTCGAAATGTTGCCCTCATCTTTATTGACATGTTCACGACGTTTCGGTCCTTCTTCCCGTCGGCCTTCTTCAGGTGATAGGAATTTCGAATTGAACTCTTTATTTCCTCCACCGGGCTAGATTGTTATAGTTCCACGTGCCGTTCCTCTCCCTTTAATTCAACTCTCCGTAACGTTAGCAATAAAGATGAGGACAACAGTCCGAACAATGTAAATAATTACAATACCTCATCAAAGAAATATAAATATGTTTTCTTGTTTCTTAATATTTTGTCTTAGCTTTTGTAATGCAACTTTGACTATCACAATGCACCATCGGATTTCATTACTGCACTTTACGTCTTCTGATCTATCGAATTCGAGTACACTCTTATTTCCTGAATTCTGTGAGACTGTGTCACTATTTAATAAAACAAAAATATTAAAATATTTGTCAGTGTTTATGAATTAAATCAAGTCTTACAAACAGAATAATCCTATTAAATGAATGAAACTCCGATTCGATTCTCACCAGGATTGATTTGTCAAGGATCTTATTTCGGTTAATTAACACTCGCGATCAGTTCGGATTCATTCGCGTCGCGGGGAGCCATTACGTGTGTTGTTTGCATACATTCGCTGCAGAATAGCTATCATTGCGCAAACTAAGCGTGTGTACGTAAATAGTTCTCGTGCACAGTAATTGAGACAAATTGAGACAAGAAAGATCAGTTCCGCGCTTTGCTTTCCGTAGTCTTCCGCGTTTAGCCTTCCACAGCGAATGTAAGCAAACAACGCTAGTAATGGCTGCCGCCAACGACACGAGTGAATCACAAATTTCACTGTCGATGAATTCAAAACGTTAGATTTTATCAAATTTATCAAGCCAAATTCCAATGGAGCATGTACAATTACACATAAATGTAAGTATACTGTAAAATTTAATGTGAACAGAGCGCGGGTGTTATAGTGTAAATTAAAATTTATTTCTTGATAGTACCGGCCGAATGAGGCGAGGTGACACAAGGATAGGCTAAATGAGGTTGAAGACGAGAGTGAGGCAAGTTCATTACGGCGTGTGGCACCAATGGAAACTGCCTGAAAACTATATTACCAGTTGATCCAAGCTTTCTGAGTTTAAGTGCGTAACGGAACTATTCAGATACCGTCCAGCTTTGTGCTATCGCGAATCCATAAGTCACGTGACCGAGGGATTAAGCGTACTGGCATTCTTCAAACTTTTGATCATGCAAGTTGATGCGCTCTCTCCCAGAAAGTGTCCTTGCCCCTCCCCATTTCATCCTATTTGGGACTCCTCAGCAGTGGGCATCCACTATCGAGAAGAGAAACCAGCAGACATTTACGATACAACGCAAGCGTTATACAAATGGATGAACGAATGATGAACAAGAAACTAACTAGACTCAATATTATGGCAAATATTACGGTGGTGATACTCATCCAAGTATACATAACCCAATAGATAGGACACTAAGAGCAATATATCATCCATATATATATATATATATATATATATATATATATATATATATATATATATATGTATGTATTCAAGTATAGGATTGGTATATACGGAATAAATTCCAATGACCAAAAATGCTATTCTTAAAAGAGTGCTCAATACAGTGTAGAGAGAGTATAATTATTTATTCGAAAATTATAACATGAATATGTTATAAAATCATTTTAAAAAAATAGCCATTTTTGTTTCAACACTTCTGTTGTCTTACCAGGTTATGGTGTCGAATGGAGAATCTACATTCAACACCATCACTTGATAAGACACCAGAAGTGTTGAAACAAAATGGCTATTTTTGTAGTGATTTAATAACATATTTATCTTGTAATTTTCGAATAAATATATATATATGAATTAAATAAAAAAAATATAGATACAAGCAATCATACATGTTTGAGATCACGTGTATATATATATATATATATATATATATATATATATATTTGCAATTATTTATTTAGTTTTTTTATTTAGTTACCCAAAAGAGTGCCCAATGTAATACAGAACTCTAGAATATATATATATATATATATATTATATTAGTATATCTTTTATATATATATATATATATATATAATATATTATATTATATTTGTATATCCTTTTATTATATATATATATATATATATATATATATATATATATATATGCGCGTCATGCTTCTCTAAAATAAGATACACCGTTCTAAGCATTGCATGCCACTTACAGACTTCGTGAAACATTGCTTTTCTCTCGAGAATTACGATGGATCGATGTTGTCAGCGACGCTTATACCGGTTTTGCGAGTCGTGAGCCAACATGCATGCACCTATAGCGTTTATATAAGCGGAGCTTAGATATGGTACAAGGCCAAATGTACGGGGCAACCAGTGAGGAATGCAATCACTACTCAGTCTTAATTGTTCGAGTGAAGCATGGTTGCTAATCATTAGATCAAGTCGGAATGATCCATGCATATGTAGATGTATATACAATATGAAAATCATCGCTAATGTGTTCGTGTTGGAGTTATGAGTCATATTGGGGGTCATATTCTGTCACAAGGTAGGGCACCTCGAGGCGGTATAATGGCTAGCAAGCTTGCCTCGCTAGAACTATTACGACTGAGTAATGAGTTCGATCCTCACTGGGTGCCCCTAATATTCACCCTTGTGCCACATCTAAGCTACGCTTGGAAAATCACTATTCTGTCACGAGGCAACTGTCACCACACACACACACACACACACACACACACACACACACACACTCAGACACACCCTGCATTGATGAAACTAAATTTATTCGCTAAATCCTGCTTTCTAGTAAGAGAGAAAGGATTTATCTTTATCTACACACACACACACATATATATATATGTGTCTGTTTGCGTGTGTGCGTGTTGGATTGATTATTCATTTTCTACAGCTGACCAGCCATTTGAAGGTTATTTAAATCCAGAAAATATTCCTAGATAGTAATTATTTTTTAGTGATACAAGTCTTACTACTTAGCCCATAGCTGAGGGGATAAGATTCTGATTCATAGCTTCTCCACGGCTTTCTACGCGTAACTGAATATAACTAACGAAACGGCAATTTAAACTGGGCTCTACGATTAACATTTCCTAGCAATTATCCATTATACCACTCTAACATCCAAACTTCCAGTACCTGGTATACCCAAGCGGTCACCCATCTAGGTACTGTCTAGTCTCGCGGTTGCTTAACTTCGGTGATCGTACGAGAATTATTGCTTCAACGTGATGTGGCCGTTCGCCTCTTATATGTGTTTTTGTGTGTGCGCACGCGCGTCCTGCTTCCTTCATATAACATATAACATTCCTGATCATATCAGAGATTAGATGGTATACGAGAGAAACATTAAAAAAAAGTTAATAAAATAAGTGTAAATGAAGTCATGACGAAGCAAGGCACTTACAATGATCAGTTGTACCATATGAAATGTAGGCGTTTGACTGCGATAATCAAAGGAGTCAACTTTAAATTCAAAAGTCATTTAATCAGAATCTGCACCATTAAGAGCAATTATCTTTTATCAACGTGATACTAAATATTCCTTTTTTCATATAATTTTACATCGTTTGATGTTATACGCTATTCAAATGATTTAATTATCTTTTACCGATTTCCAAATCATTTATTTCGGAGTAAAAACAAGAATTTGAAAAAAACAGGCATCCGTTAAAAAAACAAAAACAAAAAAAAACCCAAAAAATAAAACAAAAACTTAATCGTTAAAGCAAATGTGGCAAAGTTTTATACAACAATTTCATTATTTTTTTTTAATCGTCGTTCCTGAAGCATGTACTCATGGAGAAAGACTAGTTCATATTCGTAGACCAGTATTGATTTTGTTGATTTTCAATATTCTTATGCTATGGTCGATTTCATTACATTGGCAGTTTTGTTGCCTGTGGTCACCTCACGAGCTAAAAAAGTGCATAATATTAACCCATTCACGAACAACCGTTAAATTCTTTTGTGCAGTGTTTGTTTTAGGCAATGTCTGGGGGAAGTTACCAATCACGTTCTTGAAAACTGTGCTAGTCTCTGTTTATTAAATTTTACCCAGTGATATACTCAATAGCAATACCTTATTCAGAGCCAAATTAGTAACGATGCTGATGTATGGGATATGAATGAAAGTTAAGATGGTAGGAAGTGGAGATTGGGTTGGGGATATAAGTAGAATAGATGCCGATTAACACTTGACATGAAGAGTTCAAATTGAAATGTTCAGGGGAAACAACTCTTGCGGTATTGTGTTCCATAAAGTAGAAATTATTGGAGAAAAACGTCTTATTAGATCCTCTTACATGTGGAGCCCGGAGTAAAGCGTCATATGAAAGTAGGATGTTGTGTCTTAGATATACTGGCCTGATCTTGAGGAAACTCAGAAATAGAGTTCATCGAACATTGGCCATAAAAATAGCAATTCAGCAGCGACAAGCTTGACTTGTGATACCATACTCATCGATGCCTTCGGAGATTTTCCTTTACAGAACTTTACTCTCAATGCATCGGTCTCCCAGTGGTAGAGATTTCAGCTATATCTAAAAAGTGAAACAGGGATGGATCGTCTGCGCAGTCTGATGTTATTACGAAGTCGTCCCACTGATATATCCACAATCGTGACATTCGAACCCGGCTGTCGTGGCCGGGACGCTAACGTCCTAACGAATCGGCGACGAACCAATTGATAAAAAATAAAAGTAGTATTAAAAAAAATAACATGGGTGATTCTGTCTGACCGACTATATCTCATGTCATAAAGGCGTTGAGGACTACCTTGCTTCTCCAGCTCTCAACGTCAGGGATTAACGTCGGAGCATCTCACAGTGACCGGTTGATCTGTTGGAGGTCCTTCCATCAACGGAGTTATCTGCTTATCGCGAGGTCGTCTCCAGTTTTCAGATGACAATTCTAACTGGTAGATTACATTGATGATTTCGTCAGTTTTTCTTCACAGTACGTGACCGAGGTAAAAAACACGGCGCCGAGCGAAAGATGTTTGGCTGGTCGGGCCCCTTGCAGAGCTCCTCGGTTGAGACAAGATGAACCCAGTGCACCCACTTGAAGGTCGTAAGTACGCCGGGACTATAAGCCATGGACGCGGTAGGAAAGTGTCTTGCTAAGAGACGACGTCTCAGCGTCGTATAGTAGCACAAATAGGATGGCAGCTTTGTAGACTCGTAACATAGTGTGTCGAGAGTTACTGCGCCGCTTTTATAGTGGCCCACAAAGTCTTCTCAGGACAGTTGCAGTTTTCCCACTTCTGCTGATTTCCATAATAAATAAGAACATGACTCCAAGGGGATAAATTATTAAGCTATTTTTTTCATCAATTAATACTGTATTAGACACGAGCTTTAATTAGTGATCCCCTTATATTTTACGTGTGTCGTACAAAATACCGATTACTATATAAAAACAGATATCAGTAACTATGTTTGGTTTGGTTTGGTTTTTGTTTTACCGCATATCAACCTCAATGGGTTATTTAATGCTGACAACATTTTAAGATAGATTCCTATGAATAGAATATGTATTCTTTGGTTTAGATTGGTTTGGTTTATTTTGTTTTTACGGCATATCAACCTCAATGGGTTATTTAATGTCGACAACATTTTTAGGATAGATTCGTATGAATAAAATATGTATTCTTTGGTTTAGATTGGGTTGCTTCATTTTGTTTTTACGGCATATCAACCTCAATGTGTTATTTAATGTCGACAGCATTTTTAGGATAAATTCGTATGAACAAAATATGTATTCTTTCGTTTAGTTTGGTTTGGTTTATTTTGTTTTATGGCATATCAACCCAAATGGTTTATTTAATGCTGACAGTATTTTTTATTGCTGGTAATATTTTGTTTTGTCAAAAATCCGTTTCTGGTAATATTTTTCCTTCAAAATGTTATTGCTGGTAATAACTTTTTTTTCAAAAAAATAATATTGCTGGTAATAGTTAACTATTTGCCCATTGTTGGGACCCCAACGTGTCCTACCATCCCGGGTCAGGGTGGACCTGGGAACACCAGCAATTAAGAGGTGGTTCCACACTCCTCAAAACCTCCTGATCAGAGGTCTTGCTGCTGGACTTAGTTTATCGTCTTACGCAGGACGCGGATGTAGTTTAACATCTTACCCAGGTTGGTAGTAATTATGTAGTAAAATAAAAAAGCGATATTAATAAACATTAGCATATATAAAAATCATTTTATCTCTTTAGTCTTGGCATTTTCTCAAGGGATTTTATTCACACTGAAGAATCCATGAATCATTATGGCAAAAGAACGTACGCAAAATGTGCTCTAATATGCCTGTTTGTTTGCTGGAAGTAAACTGAAAATTAAACTGCTGCTATTTCTGCTGCAGCTGAAACCTAGGTTTTTCAGGAGTATAGCAAACACACTGACAGGAAACGGGGTACAGTGTATTCCGTGGAGTTAAGCGAAGGATGCTGGCAATGACACTGCTGCCAAATCTACTCTCTTTAGGGCTACTCCGAACATACCGACAAAAATTACTATAATGTGCTTTCTGTATTGGCTGAAGATAGCAACACGTTTGCCGCCGTCTTACTTTCGTTGTCTGTAGGCGCAGCGTAAACATGCCGACAAAAATAGTCTCTACTAGGATTGTGTGCTCGCTAATATAGGCAACTTCTGCTCATCTTAACGGTGCTGCTTTCGCTATAGCTGCTCTTGATGGTACCACATTTTGATTGGCATTAAGGTTGCAGCGATTACACTGAAAATATTTGTGCTTTATCTTTATTCGCTAGACGTAGGTAAATCCTGTTGATGCTGCTGATCTCGATGTCTATGTTTCTTTGTTATTAGAGTTAATTGAGAACGAACTGGCATAAACTGGCTTTACTGAGATTTTTGTTTGCTTAATGAAAGCAATTTCTTCTTATAGTAACAATTCTACAACAGTTCTGGAACTAAGAAGTTTCTGCAAGAAATACCACGGATATACGACTGCGTCTGCTGCTGCTGCTGTCCTCGTTACGTTTTCTCTCGTGATTGTGCGAATATACCGACAGAAAATAGACTCTACTGGATTTGTGTGTTCGCTGATATAAGTAACTACTGACCGTATTATCGCTACTGCTGCCACTGCTTCTACATCTGATGATGCCATAGTATCGTTACAAATATGTTTACTGCGATGATACATACAGAAAATCGGCAATACTGGGTTTGTCTGTAAGCAACGTATATCACTTTTTATCTCTGCTCCTTTACTCTTTCATTGTTATATTGTTTTGAAGAATTATAAATCACAATATTTTACGTGACCGACCAAAACGGGGTTCCAAATAAATAAATAAATGAGTTTTAAATACGTTGGTCGGGCTGAGAATTTTCAGCACAATCCCGTTTAATGAATCCATGCATAATTAGAGCATTCAATTTTGCCGGATACCAATATAATGATAGGAAAATTAATATACGAAAGCTTTACATCATGAACTCTGTGGTTTTGCCGATAATACCGGCGCACTTAGAAATATGAAACTAATTCGATACTAATTGCACGGTTGCTGAGACATTCGATGTAATTTTCTATCACACCATCCCCATTTTATAAGAATCTTATGTAGTCATGGTGGAGTAATGGATAGCGGCTTAGATTGAGGAATCGGAGAGCCGAGTTCGAATTCCAGTCAAATCCATTACATTATTATTTACTTCCTACCTTGGGAAAGGTATGGATACTCTTCTTCTCCCCCTATGGTTTGGATGTCAACTGGTCTACCATTATCTACCGCAGGAAAAAAAATCTGCCTCTTCAGTCATGTATCGAAAGATACATGATCGCCTACGCATAATAATAGTAACAGTAATAAATCGGAATAAAGCCTAGTATCTCATCGCTTCAGAAGTCGACGTTGCCTGCAAATATTACACGAAAGGTACAGTTTGATATCGTACAATTTGATATAGGATCTACGGTTGAAAACGAGAACCCACGCGGAAGAATAGTATATGTACTACTACTAAGATTACTACTACTAATAATAATTCAATAATTCCATTTATAATTAGAGCCCTCTGATTGAGTGGAAAAGATGCCGGCAGACTCATTGAAGGGATACCTGGTAATCAACGCCTTAACGAAATACAGCTCATACGTTGCAAACAGCTTTATCTATGTAAAATGTGAGTGATCATAGTTTTTTTTTTCTTTTTACAAAAGTAATCAGTTGAAAATATCATGAAGCCATATCTGACCTTAGGTT